AATTGAAAGTGACTGGGGAGGTGAGTATCCATCAGTCTCGACGTGGCTTAAGTAATTAGGTGTAGTGCATCGCCTAGCATGTCCACATATGTCCGAGAAAAATGGTGTGGTCGAACGGAAACATAGACACATCATTGAGTCAGCCTTGGTTCTCATGGCTCAAGCTTCAATTTTATTTAAATTTTGGTTCTATGCAGTATGCACTGTTGTGCATCTCATCAATCGGTTGCCTACAAGTGTTCTTCAAGACAAATCCCCTTATGAGGTGTTGTATTCCAAGAAACCTGATTACAGCTATCTTCGAGTCTTTGGGTGTCGTTGTTCTCCCCATTTACGACCGTACAATGCTCACAAACTCAGTTATCGATCCTCTTAGTGCGTGTTCTTATGATATAGCACTCAGCACAAAGGTTATCAATGCATGAACTCGGATGGTCGAATGTTTATTTCACGCCATGTTATTTTTGATGAAGAGTTTTTTCCTTTTGCAGCGTCAGGCAGCAAGATTGGGTGCAAGTGTGTGTTGCGTAGGAATGGTGTAAAAATTCCTATAATATGTAGTGCTCAACATTTCTGCATGGGAAGAGAATCACATGGTGTTAACCTTGTGACCAGTGCTGATGAGTCAAGATCCAATTCCTTTAACACTATGAGTCTGCCTGAAGATGATGGTCATGAACCAGATGTGCAGTCTGTCGTGTCAGGAAAAATAATACAGAAGACGAGGATGAGCAGCAAAGTGAGAATACGGTTGCACAGTAACTCTGTTTTGAAAACCAGACCGGACTGGCCGGTTCAACCGATTCAACCGGGAACTGTTGCCTAGTCTGGTTTAATCTAAACCGGTTGAACCGCTACTAGTGAACCGGCCAGAACCGTTGAACTGTTCGAACCGGACCGGCTGAAAACCGGAAAAAACCGGAAAATTTGTTTTTTTTTAAAAAATTAAACCAAACGTCGTTTGTTAAACGAGCCAAGTCGAACTCGAGTATTGCTGAGCTCGACTCGAACTTGAAAACTTTAAAAGTAAGCTCAACTCCACTCAAACTCATAAGTTAAAAATTATCAAGTTCGAACTCGAAATATAATATTGAAACTTGAACTCAAAAAGGCTTGAAATAAAAAAAAATTTAGAAGCTCAATTGAAGCCTAAAATTTGAGCTTGATTGAAGTGAAAGAATAGTTCACTCAATGCTCACCAAAAGGCTCCATGATTTTGAATGTCAAATTACTTGTATTATTTATAGAAGTTAGTTGTGATGCTCTTCTATGTTTCTTAGCAATGTGGGATTGTTTTGTTCTCATATTTTTATTCTTTAGACTTTTGGGATGCTCTTCTATGTTTCTTAGCCATGTGGGATTGTTTTTAAAAAAAATTAAACCAAACAATATCATTTTGTTATGATTTTTTTAGCCCCAAATTTATTTTTTAATTATAGTTATATAATTATATTTATTATTTAATATGTTTTACCTTAAATATTATGTTGTAGTTAATTTGAATCATTTTGTTTCACTTGATTTTATGGTTTTTAATTTATATATGTTATGACTTGCTTTGAATATAGCTTGTGTTATAAAAAATTATTTTTTATTAAATATTTTTGGTATTTTTATTTAATTTTTTAAATAATTATGACGTTGTCCGATTCTTCCGACCGGTCGGACCGGTTCGACCGGTTGAACCAGTGAACCGATAGTATGGCCAGTTCGCTAACCGATCCGGTTCTGAAAACCATGCACAACAAAGTTCAAGGGAGGCAGGTACTTCCTCGTCGACCCGGGTTAATGAAGAATCGAGCAGCAACAGTCGAGGTAATTATGGTCAGCATGAGACATCACCACTAGTAACAGGCCATCAAATGATAACACACTGTAAAAATGGAGTATTGAAACCCAAGTTGTACTCCTCAACTATTAGTGGTGGATCTGCTTGTCAGAATGGTAACGGTATAAGTGAGGTTGAACTTCAGAATGTTCATGAAGCCTTCAAAGATCCATTGTGGAAGGTTGTTGTTCTTGCTGAGTATAAAGCACTTCAAAGGAATAATATCTGGTCACTTGTTCCCCTTCCAGAAAGACGATCTGTTGTAGGTTGTAGGTGGTTGTTTCGAGTCAAGCGTAATGCTGATGGCTCGGTACAAAAATATAAAGCCAGACTCGTGGCCAAAGAGTTTTCACAGATGCATGGCCAGGACTTTCAAGAAACATTTAGTTCTGTTGTAAAAATGTCAACAGTAAATGTTGTATTGACAATTGTTGCTCGCAATAAGGCAAGTAAATGTTAAGAATGTGTTTTTAAATGGTGAATTAAGTGAAGAGGTGTTCATGGAACAACCTCAAGGCTTTGAGCAACAGGCTGCAGATGGAATAAGGCTGGTGTGCAAGCTCCAGAAATCCTTGTATGGGTTAAGGCAAGCACCAAGGAATTGGTACTCCAAGCTGAATTTTTCTTTGGTGGACTTGGGGTTTTAAAGCTCTCGTGTATGTCTTAGCCTATTTTGATGATATCATTGTTATAGGAGGCAAAATGAAGATATTGAACAAGTTGTGAAGTTATTAGGAGAGAGGTTTTCACTCAAAGATTTGGGTACGCTTAATTTTTTTCTTGGAATTGAATTTAAGTGTATTGATGGTGCAGTGTTTCTAAGCCAGAAGAAGTATATAATGGAACTGCTCGATAAATCATGAATGAGTAAGGCTACAGCAACTCCTACGCCTATGGTTGCATCGATTAAACTGTCAAGTAATGATGCAATCATCTTATTAGAAAATACAAGAGAATATCGCAGCTTGGTCGGGTCTTTGCTTTACGCTTGTCATACGAGGCCAGACATAGCTTATTGTGTGAATAAGCTAGCACAATTCATGCATGCACCTTGTGAACAACACTTGGTGGCTGTCAAACGTGAGCTGAGATATCTTATGGGAACACTTGATTATGGCTTGGTGTTTTTTCCAAAACCAGAATCGTTTCAGCTTGTAGCCTTTGTTGATGCAGATTGGGGAAGCAATGTTAATGATAGAAGGTACATATAAGGCACTTGTGTCTTCCTTAGTGGTAGTATGGTTCAATGGATTTTTAAGAAATAGAATATAGTTTTGAGGTCCACCACAGAGGCCGAGTATAAGAGTCTAGCTGATGCCACCTCTGATTTTATTTGGCTTGAAGCACTGCTGGCTGATATGAGGGTTCAAGTTCAAGCTGCTTCAGTGGTGTGAAATGAATAGGGCTGTAAATGAGACGAGACAGGCTCGAGATCAACTCGATCAATGCTCGATAAATACTCGAATCGAATAGACTCGAGCTCAACTCGAGTTCTTAACGAGCTGAAACGAGCTACTTGATATTCTATTCGAAAAGCCCATGAACAACTCGAAAATATAACATATTAAGATTTTTTTAAAAAAAATAAATTATTAATAATATTAATATTTATGTATTTATTTATTTTTTGAAAAAATACAATAATCTTTCATGTATTTAAGGTTCATGTTCGAGTTTGAGTTTGAGGCTTCAATCGAGTTAAGTTTAAGAATTTTTTTTTTCATTTCGATCCTTTTCTGCTCACAAGCTTCAGTTCAGGATTTCGAGTTCGAGTCAAGCTTGAAAATTTTAAGCTCGCGAGTTTTCAAGTCGAATCGAGCTCCATTTCAGATTTTTCGAGTCGTGTCGAGCTCAGCAATACTCGAGCTCGACTCGGCTCGTTTACACCCATAGAAATGACAATACCAGTGCAATTGCTATGAGTAATAATCCAGTATATCACTCAAGAACAAAGCACGTGGAGTTAGACATACACTTTGTGAGGGAATGAGTTACTACAGGGAAGCTTCAAGTGAACTTTGTACCCTCTCAACATCAAGTGACAAACGAACTTACTAAGGCACTAACGAAAGATAGCTTTGTTCAGTTCAGGCAAAGACTTGGTGTGTTGTCGTTTCTTGAAGTTGAGAAGAGAAAAAAGTAGGGGTAATATTAAAGTAAATGTTCTAGAATGAATCTAGAATGCTGCTGAAGTAATCTGTTGTGTGTGTGTGTAAGTGTAATGCAGTTAGTTAGTTTGTTAGTTAGTATTATGTTACAACAAATTACCAGCTCAGGAAGTAACCAGATTACCAGCTTAGGGAATTGGTTGTTATATGTATATAAACCATGCTCTCGTTAATTAAGAATCAAGAAGTTTTCTTTAATGATTTTAGTTTTCTGCATACATCCCAATATTAGACGTGGATCTCCGGTGGGTATGGACCCGACTAAAGTACCTAGCAGTGGAGTCATCCCTCGATATGTAAAAGACGATTAAAAAATGAGGTGGTTTGATGTGTCGGGTTTCAATCCGATACACGACGTAAATGCATGGGATGAAGATGATGGCAACGCCATTGTCATGCTGGCACCAAATATTCTATCCGTTGAACATACCTTGTATAGGATGGAGCTTGTTCAATCTTTAGTGAAGAATATGAGAATTGACTTAAGAACAGGGATAGTAACAAGGAATCCTATATCAGCAAGAAACCTGGATATTGCAGTATTAAACCCAGCTTATGTTGGGAAGAAGAACAAATATCTATACGCTGCGGTGGGAGACCCAATGTCGAAAATAATAGGAGTTATAAAATTGGATGTCTCCAACGGAGAACGGCAAGAGCGTACAGTGGCTAACAGAATGTATGGAACATGTAACTTTGGTAGGACCATTCTTTGTTGCTAGGGAACCAGAGAATCCAGAGACAGAGGAGGACGATGGATATATGGTTTCATATGTCCACAATAAGAATATCGGGGAGTCAAGGTTCTTGGTGATGGACGCAAAATCACCCACTCTTGACATAGTGGCAGCCGTGAAGCTTTCCCGTATGGTGCCATACGGTTTCCAAGGACTATTTGTGAGGGAAAGTGACCTAAAAAAGCTAGAACACATTACAAGTATATTATCTTCCTATAGGATTCAGGTGGATCATTGATTAAATTAAAAGGTATACATGTGTATTAGCAGAGTAAGCGAGCAACATTTGTAGCATGCCATGCCACGCTGGCATAGGTTGTTAAATGGAAGTTAGGAAGTTGTTCGTTTGTTAAGATTAGTTAGTTGGTTAAGTGCAGTTATGAGCTGCTGAACTATGTATAAAACAACTTCATTACTTTGTAATCAAGTCAATAATTCATTCTTTAATTCTTTCATCATCTTCATCCTAATTCTAATATGGTATCAATCGTCATTGATTTTGGGTCTTTATGATTAATTTCCGTTGCGTGAGTAATTCTCGATGGAGTTTACAACAAACTTGAAGGCGTTTACTCACAAGAAAGTAAATGTGGTGCTCGACGAGATGAATTTCCTCCTGTGGAAGCAGTAGATTCTGGTCACCATTAGAAGTCATTGCTTAGAACGGTTACTTACGAGTGTAGTAGTGGCTTCACCAAAGACTGTGGTTGATGATGATGGCATAGTTATCAATGATGAATATAAAGACTTTGTGGCTCAAGATAGTGCCCTTTCATTATGGTTACTATCCACGATCAGCCCTCATCTTCTTCCCCAATTCGTTAGTGCTGAAACGACAACATCTATTTAGAATATAGTGCTCTACTTCTTTTCCAATCGTTCAACGATAGTCGTCATGAGTCTTCATTATAAACTCCAATCTTTAAAGAAAGACGGTGACAGTATATGAACTTACCTCACTTGAATGAAGGAGATATGTGATGCTCTAGCGTCTTGTGGCAGTTCTGTTCCACAAGTTGAGCAAATTGCAAGCTTTCTCAAAGGGCTCCCTCAAGAATATCAACCCTTCATGGCCATCATCACATCCATGAGGGAAACTTTGTTATTAGACAACATCTATACAATGCTAATTGATGCAGAAATGCAACTAGAAAGCTTTGATGATCAACTTGACGCTCTACCTATGAGTGCAAATATTGCACAGGGTGAGGCATGAAATACTTCACTGATGGCCAACAATTCTGATCAGAGGTCTGGCTATTCATTTAATCATCGAACTGGTGGTAGAGGCCATGGCAGATCTAGGATTCAATGTCAACTCTGTGGAAAAGTTGGACACTTGGTTAATCGATGCTGGCACAGGTATGATAAGGACTTCTCGTGTGTTACATCTGGCAATCAAGGACAGTTTTAACATGAATACAAAACTAATTCCTCCTCTGGCAACTTTACAATTTCATCTACTGATGATGGTTGTGAGTGTTGTGCTAAACGAAAGAGTGGTTCCTCAACAGGTGATCAACCACAAGCTCATGCAGCTTCCATACAATCTGAATGTTGGGTGGACGATACAGGAGCTACGCATCACGTTACAACAGATGCTAATAAACTCCTAAATGTTTCTGAGTATCGTGGCCCATATAAACTTTTAATTAGGAATGGTATGCCTCTTGATGTCGTTTTAGTTGGTGATGCTCATGTAAATACCACTTTAAGAGTACTTTTCTTGCATGAATTATTGCATGTTCCATAAATAACCAAGAATTTGCTCTCGGTTTCCAAGCTTGCTAGGGATAATGACGTTTTTATTGAATTTCATACCAACCGATGTTGTATTCGAGATGAAGCCACTAGAAAGCTACTGCTTCAAGGTGAAGAAAGTGATGGTCTATACTTTTTCGATATGAATAATAAACCCTCAGCAGTCCAAGTTGCACAAGCAAATACATGCATTGGATCAACTTCAATGGATGAACTTTGGCATCAACCTCTTGGTCATCTAACTGCTGAGACTTTAGCAAAACTAGCTGCTGAACTAAGATTTAAAGTCAACTCTAATGTAAATAGAGATTGTATTGCATGTCATTTGGGCAAAAGTCATAAATTGCCCTTTAATGAATCAAATTCAGTGGTATCTTCTTCATTTGAACTTGTGTACTCAGATTTACGGAGGCCACCACATGTATCCTCTAATGGCTTCAGATTTTACATCTCATTTGTGGATGCATTCACTCGCCACACTTGGATCTACTTGTTGAAACATAAAGATGAAACATACATAGCGTTTCAATTATTTAAGAAACTAGCAGCTAATCAATTTGGCAGTTCGATCAAAGAACTACAAACAGACTGGGTGGTGAATTTAGAAGCATCTCAACGCTGCTAGCTCAAGATGGGATTGTACACAGACTAACATGCCCACACACCTATAAACAAAACGGTGTCGTGGAAAGAAAACATCAACATATCGTTAAATTTGCCCTAGTTCTATTAGCCCAAGCATCATTACCTATCAAGTACTAGTCGTATGCAATAGTTTCTGCAGTGTACTTAATCAATCGCCTACCTACCAATGTGCTACAAGGCATGTCACCATTTGAAAAATTGTTTGAAAGAAAACTTGAATATTCCATGATGAAGGTTTTCGGTTGCCAATATTTCCCTCACCTGAGAATGTTTCAAAGGCATAAGTTGTCTTTCAGGTCTCAAGTATGCACGTATTTGGGAGTCAGCCCTCAACATAAAAGGTTTCAATGCTTGGCACCCGATGGACAAGTATATGTTTCTCATCATATTATATTTAATGAATTTGTTTTTCCGTTTGCAGGGAAAAAAAGATGTACCCCACTGAAGTCAGCAGTTAACACTAGCTCGAACTCACAGCCACTTCAAATCGTTGCAATAACTAAAAAAATTTGCCATCAATTGCCACGAAAATTACCAAATATAATCAATGTGCGTGAAGAAGTCAATGATTCAGAAGTCCCTCATGAAGTCGAGGTGGTCAATAATGACTTTCAGCATAGTTCAGATGATATCCTATAACATTCCTCTGATGCTGCTAATTCAAAAGAGATCGTTCCTGATGAAGTTGTACGATGTAAGTGTTAAAGTTGGTAACATACCAGATGATGGTTTGCAAAACAATGTTTTTGAGCCTGACACTAGTACTCCACTCAGGTCTGAGGCTGTTAATTGCTGACCTCAGACTCGTGTTCATCATATGTTGACTCGCAGCCGATGTGGGATCTTCAAGCCTAAAGTGTTTTCAACGACACTGGAAGATGATACCCCTATGATAATCAGTGTTGCTCTTCAGTCTCCATAATGGGATGCAGCAGTTCATGATGAGTACAACGTATTGCTTAATAACGACACTTGGACATTAGTCAGATTTCCTAAAGATAGAGTGGTTGTTGGATGCAAATGGATTTTTTGAGTTAAACATAATTATGATGGATCAGTAAATAGGTACAAAGCACAATTAGTTGCCAAATGGTACTCAAAAGTACCATGCTATGACTTCAAGGGCACTTTCAGTCATGTGGTTCGATTTGCAACATTCAACATCTTACTGTCTATAGCAGTATTGAATGGATGGGAGCTTCGACATGTGGACATCAATATTGTTTTCCTCAATGGAGATTTAAGTGAGGAGGTGTACATCCAACAACCTCCTGGATTTAAGAACACTGATAATCTTAGTAAACCTTTGGTATATAAGCTAAAAAAACACTTTATGGTCTTCGACAAGCACCTCACAATTGGCATGCCAAGCTTAAGGAAAATTTGGTACAAATGGGATTTATAGTGTCTCGAGCAGACTCGTCATTGTTTACTAAGCATAGTGAAGATGGCTACATCTATGTTCTTGTATATATAGATGATATAGTTGTTACGGGTCCAGCTCCCATTGCTATACATGAGTTTATTTCTGTTCTACAAACTCGGTTTTCGTTAAAGGATCTCGGGGAATTGAGTTTCTTTCTAGGCATCGAGGTCAAACATATGAATAATGTTGTTATGCTGAGTCAAAGGAAATACATCCTGGAACTATTGGAGACGACTGGGATGTTGAATGCAACAAACTGTGCAACACCAATGGTGGTGTCTTCTAAACTCTCTCATGAAGAATGCCAACTGATTCAAAATGCCAGTGAGTACAAGAGTGTAGTTGGTTCACTCTTGTATATTTGTCATACGAGATCTGACATCTCATTTAGTGTTGCCCAAGTTTCTCAACACATGCATGCACTATGAGAATCTCACTTTGTTGCAGTGAAAAGAATATTGCGTTATTTAGCTTCTACACTTAATTTGGGTCTTCTATTTACACCAGTTACTCGTGGATCAGACATAGTTGCATTTGCTGATACTAATTTGGGGGCAAGTATCGATGACAGGAGGTCCATCACTGGTTATGGGGTTTTCCTTGGCAAGTGCCTTGTCACTTGGTGCTCAAAGAAACAACGAAAGGTCTCTCGATCCACAATGGAGGCCGAATACAAAAGTGTAGCAGATACGGCCGCAAACATAACATGGATTCAAGCTCTCCTAGCAGACCTAGGCGTTCAGCATGATCATAAGCCTGTTGTCTGGTGTGACAACACCAGTGAGGTGGCCATGAGTGCGAATCTAGTATATCATGCCCAGTCCAAGCATGTTGATCTAGACGTCCACTTTGTATGTGAGAAAGTTGCTACTGATCAGTTGTGTGTTAGCTATGTACCAGCCATGCATCAAATTGTTGATGGATTCACTAAGCCATTGGCCAGTACTGCATTTGAAGAATTTTGTTCAAGAATATGCTTCTATCAATTCTGAAAGTGAGAAGAAGCAGGGAGAATATTAGCAGAGTAAGCGAGCAGTATGTGTTGCATGCCATGCCACGCTGGCATAGGCTGTTAAATGTAAGTTAGGAAGCTGTTAGTTATTAAGATTAGTTAGTTGGTTAAGTGCAGTTATGAGCTGTTGAACTGTGTATAAAACAACTTCATTTCTTTGTAATAAAGTCAAGAATTCCTTCTTTAATCCTTTCATCATCTTCATCCTCATTCCAATAATGTGTAGTCACTGTGTAAGTGCATACCATAGTAGATGAAGTTACAGAGTGTATAAAACATTGAATAAACAGTACTTACCATAGCAGGTTCAAATCTCCTACTAAAACAATCAAATCCTGGCTACAAACAAACCAATCCCACTTTCTTCCACTAAACCCTTGGCTTCAGAGCCTTTTAATCCACCAACCATTTAGAGGAGAACGTTTTACACATGTTAAAATGCAAAGTACCTTAAGTAGTCATCGCCAGGATAGTAAATGTAGGCAAAAAGAGAAGCTTAGCCCCAGAAGAGATAATAAGAGATTGCACACCAACATATCAACTAATCAACAAGATCAATGGATGTTCCATGATCCTCTATCCATTCCACAAAACCTCAATTCCTTCTTCGTGAAGCCTTGGTGAACATTTCTTTGATGTGCCTGGACTCTGTCTCTACTTTAGCCTTTTTAGTTTGCTTTGCGTTTCTTCCAGCCTTTTTCTCACTCGTATTTTTACCCTGAGAAATTAAAATTACACACATAAAAAAATACACATACCAATCTGCTACGAGAAGTGTATATTAAAAAAAGGGTAAATTAGAATTTTGTCCCTAAATTAGTTTGAATTTATAAAATAGTTTCTAATTAGTATTTTATGTAAAATTTAAACCCTTTTACTAATGTGTCATATCAAACTAATAAAAGTCAACGTTTAAGTGACTACATATTAATTAAAGTAAAACAAAAGTGATTATATATTATGTTTTTTGAATCCAGTGATCATATGTTTATAAAACTCAAACGAAAGTGATCAAATCTGTAGTTTACCCTAAAATCAAATATATATTAATATTAATTATTGAAAATCAATACTATTTTTTTATTAATCTAAGGTGATTACAAGTGGTAGTAACTATTCAAAAGAGTATCAATCATTTTACAATGAATGCTCATATACTCTGACATCATTGGTGCTCTAACCCAGAACTTTTAAGGATAATAATTATAGGTAAATTGGTTCGTGGGAAAATCAATCCTAATTAAATACCTAAAACCTTGACCAATAAATATCAACTGATACAAGGTAGTTATTATACAAAAGCTCAGCTTGATGGAAGCATACTTTTTTTTAATTATTGACTTGATTAAAATAATGTATAAAAATAAGAGATTATTGAAATTAACCGTTTAAATCTAACTTCAAACGCAATTCTCTTAAGAAAACCTATAATTATAAGAAAATCCAAAACAAAGTAATGAAACACAATTCCTTTAAAGAAATCTATAATTATAAGAAAATCCAAAACAAATTAAATTAATTTTGCATATGCAAAACTCCATGGATTCAGTGATGGATATTTCAATTCTCTTTTGTTTTAGGGTGCATATTTTGCCCTCTACGTTGTGCGTATATATTTCCCATGATGGACAAAGGCAAAACCATGCATTGTTTTGTTCACAATTCAAAAACTAAGGCAAAAAGCAACAGAGTGATGGACGCCTTCTCTTCCGCCTTTCTCTCCACCGTAGCACCGTCCACAAAATCTCCATCTACTGCTCCACCATCTTATGTTCCTCGCCGTTACATTTCCTCTGTAAGAATTGACAAAAAGCCTCCGACTTCCACCACCAAAACACCACCTTCGGTTGTAGCTAAGGAAAGAGTAGAGCCAAAGTTGTCCACAATGATCTTCAACACATTTGACGACATCATAAACAACTTCATAGACCCTCCACCGCGGCCTTCAGTCGACCCCCGGCATGTCCTATCCCACAACTTCGCTCCCGTTGATGAGCTTGCTCCAATGCTGTGTGAAGTCATACAAGGATCACTCCCACCTTGCCTCGACGGTGCATACATTCTTAATGGCCCCAACCCTCAGTTCCTCCCTCGTGGACCTTACCACCTCTTTGATGGTGATGGCATGCTTCACTCCATTCGAATCTCCAACGGCAATGCCACTTTGTGCAGCAGATATGTAAAGACTAACAAGTACTCCACTGAAAAACAAATGGGTTCTCGGGTTCTTCCCGGTGTTTTTTTCCGGCTTTAACAGCCTAACCGTTGTCACAACACGCGGTGCTCTCATGGCCATCAGGATTCTATTCGGCGAGTTCAATCCTGCAAACAGAATTGGTCTTGCAAACACTAGCTTGGCCTTTTTCGGAACCGGCTCTACGCCCTTGGTGAGACAGATCTACATTACTCTATTCGCTTGACATCCACAGGAGACCTACAAACATTGGGTCGTGTTGATTTTGATGGCAAGTTGTTCATGAGCATGACTGCTCACCCTAAGATAGAGGCGGAGACTGGCGAGGCATTTGCTTTCCGATTTGTCCATGTGCCCCCGTATGTAAAATATTTTTACTTTGAAGCTAATGGAAATAAGAAACCAGACGTGCCTATATTGTCCATGACCCGACCATCTTTTATCCATGACTTTGCAATTACAAACAAGTACGCGATATTTGCCGACATACAAATGGGCATTAATCCCATGAACATGATCTTTGGAGGTGGGTTTCCTGTGGGTGTGCACACGGCTAAAATGCATAGAATTGGAGTCATCCGTCGATATGCAAAAGACGATTAAAAAATGAGGTGGTTCGATGTGCCAGTTTTCAACCTAATGCACGCCATAAATGCATGGGATGAAGATGATGGCAACGCCATTATCATGCTGGCACCTAACATTCTAACAGTACAACTTACCCTGGAGAAGGTGAGAATTGACTTAGGAACAGTGATAGTAACAAGGCATCCCGTTTCAGCAAGAAACCTGGATTTTGCAGTATTAAACCCAGCTTATGTTGGGAAGAACAATTATCTGTACGCTGCCGTGGGAGACCCAATGCTGAAAATAGCAGGAGTGGCGAAATTGGATGTGTCCAACGGAGACCACCAGGAGCGCACTGTGGCTAACAGAATGTATGGGCCATGTTGCTTTGGTGGGGAGCCATTCTTTGTCGCTAGGGAACCAGAGAATCCAGAGGCAGACGAGGAAGATGGATATTTGATTTCACATGTCCACAATGAGAACACCGGGGAGTCAAGGTTCTTGGTGATGGACGCAAAATCACCCACTCTTGACATAGTGGCAGCCGTGAAGCTTCCCCATAGGGTGCCATACGGTTTTCATGTACTATTTGTGAGGGAAAGAGACCTAAAAAGGTTGTAGAACGCAGTACAAGTATATTATCTTCCTCTAGGGTTCACGTGGATCATTCATTAAACTAAAAGGTGTATATACATGTGTAGTCGCTTTGTAAGTGCATATTGATAGTAAATGAAGTTACAGGATGTATAAAACATTGAATAAACAGTACTTACCTATAGAATTAAAATATCCCGAACATTAAGTTAATACGCGACTGTCGTGATTAATTAAACAAGCAGGTTCATATCTCCTACTAAAACAATCAATCCTAGCTACAAACAAACCCACCCCAATTTCTTCCACTAACCCTTGGTTTTACAGCCAAGAACCATTTAAAGGAGAACGTTTTAAATCCAACTTTAGGATTTCAATTTACAAAGTGTTAATCTCTCAATTTGACCCATGATAAAATGCAAAGTACCTTAAGTAGTCAATGCCAAGATAGGTAATGTAGGCAAAAAGAGAAGCTCAGCCCTGGAAGAGATAATTAGAGATTGCACACCAACATGACAACTAATAAAACAAGATCAATGGGTTCCATGATCCTCTATCCATTCCACAAAACCTCAATTCCTCCTCCGTGAAGCCCTGGTGAACATTTCTTTGATGTTCCTGGACTCTGTCTCTACTTTAGCCTTTTTAGCTTGCTTTACGTTTCTTCCAGCCTTTTTTTCACTCGTATTCTTACCCTGAGAAATTAAAATTACGCACACATAAAAAAAATACGTGTACCAATCTGCTACAATTGCAAATGTAAAAGGTTTATTCTAAAAAAACATTTTATGGTACAAGCGACAAGCCTAATGGTCATCACATCCCCAATCCTACCTCTAACAAGGAGGTTGAAATTTGAAAGGCAATACCATCAACAACCCCAATAAACAAGAAAACAATAGCAACTGGGGACCTTATCTAAGACCAGTGATACCTGTGAGAAGTTGGAAGAACCAGCGGAGCTTCCTGCATCTGTTGGACAAATCTCAAAGTCTGATACTATTGTTTTTGCCTCCAGAGAATCCAATCTGCAAACAACTCACGAACATGTAACTCAAATGCATCAATAGGGAAACCACTCTATGCACAGATTCATTGATCTCCTAATTTATTAAAACTGTGAATAAATGGAATTGAACAAAATAGTCATTTAGAATTGAGTAGTTCAAAAGGTTTGAGACAATACTTAAAATGATTACACAAAAGCTTCAGCCAAGTATCCTCTTTCAAGTACTCCCCTAATATTGATACCGCATCAACCACTGCATCAGTAAAAGTGATAAATCAAATTGTCATACATTATTAAATTAACATTAACTTCATTCCAAATCCAGTAGTCCACAAGTTCTATAAGATATGGATAAACTGTTCTTCATAGCTTTTACTCAATGTCAATGGCTTCTCAAATGAGCTCATCAGGCACATGCTCTTGGGCCAAACAAACAATAATAACTACTCCATTTATACAATCCCTTGGGCTGAAAGCTTTACCACCCAAGCTCATTGTAGTCATTATATTCTACTGGTACTGAGAAAGAGAAATTTTAAGAGGAATTAATTGGAAGCAGTCTTTACATATTACATTGTTTGAACCCTCTAAAAACTTAAGCCTACACTCTCTTACAGTTCTCTATCCTGCAATATTGCAACAGAAGACTCTTAAAGGATTTTTCATTAGAATTTTTATCGCCTGCATACATCTCTCTACCTTTTGTGTGTGTGCATGCACACACAAAAGGTAATTGGACGCATTAAAAAATTTACATAGTTGAATATCACAACCTATTTTTTAGAGAAACATACATGTATCCTTCTCTTCACGTGCAGCATAGTTTTGGTCCAATGCCGGTAGAGTCTGTTTTAACTGGGATACCTGCAATTCAAGAGAAATTATAGAACGCTAAGCAGTTTTGACTTGCATGTATATTTTTCATTTGACTTGACAATTGTATAATAAAGGAAGCAATTAGCACAAACTAACAGATAATATTGCAATGGGTTTAAGAACAAATATGTAAAATAATCGGGACAGACATGAAAGATATGAGCAGATTGTTTCCCAAGAGGATGTTTGATGCACATAGCACGTTCAATTGACCTACAAAGGATAGTTATCTTCTTTCCGAATGAAGATTCCAGAAATAGGTAATGCAAGATCTTCACACTTGAGCTCTCTACTCATCCACAGTAATATAACAACAGGACTAACAGATGGTTTAAATGTTTCACACATACACAAGCAAAAAGTAGTTACAAGAGAAGGCCAACCTTGCACAGTAACCAAGCCAAAACCTTAGTGTCGTCAAGCCTAAAAAATTTTGTTGATCCAACTTCTGCACATATATAGAGCAGTGAGGATAATTAATATATGTTTATTTGCGGCAACACACTCATTAGCATCCATGCTCCATGAAAGGCAGAACTAAAGCTCTGCCACCAGAAAAAAATAAGTAGAGAAACAGGACCCCTTTACTGCATGCCACAATCAGAATTCATGATAAGATATTTTAATAGAAAAATGCATATTTCTTTCCGTATAACAGAATATACAAAGTTTATATGCACAGATTGCCTTAAATGATAACATCTTAGAATTATTCTTTGAAGAGATATTCACAAGAATATACAGATTGCACCAAACCTTTGATTTCACAAACAACTTCCATACAGTCCTCTGCCATGGAGAATAAATGCCGATATCCAGGACAATCATTAACGAAGAGTATCTCTTCTAATTGCCTAAACTTTCCAGGATCATCCCCTTTCTACATTTACATCAAAATTGAATTATTACGAGCTAAAAGTCCACATATAAACTTCAAAGATTCGAAAAACAAGATGGCCCGAAAATGGAATCAACAATGAGGCAAAATCATGCAAGTTAGAACTAGGTAAGATACACCAGTGAAGCACTAAGTCTAAGGTCACTGAATACAGAGAGTTGGATAACATCAAACAAAGCAGGGGATTGAGAACTATAACAAAGAGAGAAAAACAGAGTTTCACAGTAGCAAAAAAGGAAGATATATAAATGAAATAAGATAGTCTGAATGATACTGCAGTAACTGCACAAAGACTAAAGAATCATGCAATCCTAACAAGTCACAAGTTATTGTTGATGAATTTTTATTTCTTTTAGCAAAGATTAAACATCCCTCATTCTTAAAATTAAGAGCTCACAAAGCTAAGGCCACCAACTAAATTTCATGCAGGGTTCAAAAAACTTCCTCAATGGTACAGTTTTTCAAATGTCTTTTAGTCTCTCTTGGGTCTTGAGACACTAAGCTAGGCTAAAAGGAAGACTACATTGCTGAAGATGCACTGAGGTTCTAAATTCTAAGCAATTGGTTCTATCAAAGTAACTACACAAGCATCTCCAGTTAAGGGAAAATAGTAATGATCATACCTTCATCCTTGCATCCTCAAAGATAGGCAACATGATGAAAACGGGATCAATTGGAGTAGCAGTATATAGGCTTCCATCTGCATACAAGTAATAGAAAAATAAAATAAGGATGATATAAAAAAACAAGGTAATCAGAGGTTCTGCCTACTATTGGGGATTATAAGAAACATGTGAAACCAGCCATGCAGTTGTGCTCAATATATAAGCAATTTAGTTGTAAGACAATTATCCTGCTTGGGTCCATCAATTTTGGTTGTCTAGATACATGTATATTCAGTTTGACTCATGTTAGTATACACACGGTTGGCCCATTTAGATATATAATCATTCTAAAACATAGTCTGTAAACTCTAGAATAGCTCCCCACCAAAATTTAATCAAACCAGCACTCAAAATACATAAGAAATTGAACCACAGAACACTAAAATTAGTGAGCTTCTTCCGCTCTTTTGTGTGTGTGTAGGTGTGATAATGGATAGAGGATAGGAATTGTCGATAGATAAAACTTGAGACGGGTGCCAAATGAAGACTATAACACAAGTTGTTTGCCACTCCAATTGTTAGTCCTCGGCTTCTTTTGCTTGTAACTGAAACAGAAAACTACGTTTCTTTTTCTTTCATAGAACCCAACCACCACATTCTTTACCTAAATGTATACACGTATGAGTTTGGAAGAAAACAATAATATCTTACCCCATGAAAGATGATGTATGTTCTATGAATAGAAGGGTTACCTTCAGAAACATAATCTCCCAAAAACCAAGACCCATAAGGTTGCTTGAACCAGTGAAGTTCCTGAAGCAATCCGTTACATAAAAGATAGGATGCCCTGTTTCCTGTCAAATAAAACAAAATTAAGCGAGAAGTAAAAAAAACAGGGTTCCATATTCTGGAATACATCAGTGAAGATTACCAGATTTGGGATGACGAAGTGATAGCAAACAAGCGGAACCGTTCTCATTAGCACCGGGATCTGCCAAGAATTAGAAGAAAACATTAAGACAGATGACAAATGGAAATAAATTAATAATTTCAGGTCTTTTTCTTTCTCTGTCTCACTCCCCTTTGGGGGGAGCGAAATCGAGGAGGTACCTGGGGCAATTAAAAGACGGGATTCATCAATGCCTTCCCACCAAGACCCCATTAGCCAAACAACAGAGACGATGCAGATGCAGAAGCAGAAGCAGAAAACAAGCAAAGCCAAAGAGCTAATACAAACAGCGACTCTCTCACGAGATATTTATTCGGAAATTAGAATAGATTTGGGGAAAGGAGTGCTCTCAGTGCTCAAGAATGAAGGCGGAAATGAAAAGATTGCTTGAGATTTGATTTAAATGATTTAGTTATTATCTCTGATGGAAAATTATGACGACTTAAGATTAAGGTAGTTAAGTAGGACGAGTTACCTTCATTAGATGTATTATCTTTATTTTTTTTAATGTTTTTGTAATAATTTTATTATTTATATTTTTTATATATTTTTATCATTGGAATTAATGAAGGTTTAGAATTAAGATAGTGGAATAGTGTTACTTTAATTTTAAGTTTTAGCCTATTTGATTTTATCTATTCTTGAAGTCTGCTATCGTTGAATTCCTTGTATACTGTTCTTAATGTTTTCTCTTTATAATTTTAGACGGGTCTTACTTTTCTGTCTATATGCAGATATTTTTACGCAGGGGTATATTTACAGGGATTACTTCCCATTACAGACGTGTATATGAAGACTGCATATGAAGATTGTCCAACTACGTATTTTATTTATTTATTTAAACATGCATTGTATTTTATCTTTATTTTTAATTTTTTGACTGCCGGAGGTCTTCCACGAAAATTATTTTTAAATTGGTATTTGGGAACAGTCTACTATCCTACCTCTCCTTATTCAATTACATATGAGAATAGGGTTTTGTTGTTATTATTGTAGTGCTCTCAGTGCTCAAAGAGTGAAAAAGGGGCAGATTGATTGGCGGGAACGGTAAAGATGAAGAGGGCGACAATAAATCCGGAATCTGGGTTTTGCTTTCAAGCCCATACTGGAATTAAGCCCATTATAATCCAACATGACTATTCGGTTACTTGCATTTCCATAAACCTTTCGGGGCACGGAGCTCAATTAGCTTTCAATTTCCATCAAAATAGCTTGGGCTTTTATTTTCAGCAACTCAAGAAGACGAATCTAAACGTACCAGAGCCTTGGATTGGAACTCGCTCTGCACAGTTGACGAATGATTCATGAATTTCTGGTAATGTACAAATTGAAGAACCATAGGGTAAATTACATGTATAGTCATTAAACTATAAGGTTAGTTTTATTTATTAGACCATGAAACTACGAATTTTATCAGTCATGTCATTTAATTTTTCAAATTCTTTTAATATTATGAATTTATTGATATGCTAGTTAAATAAATTTACGTAATTTCACATTTAGTTCTATATGATTGGAGTATTAAATTTATTGGATCAAATTAAGATTAAGACTTAGTTAATAAAATATATAAATAATAAGAATCAAATATATAACTATATAAATTTACTTAACTATTAAGTCGCCATTTCAGATAATTATTAATGGTCAATAGCTTAATTGGTATCATTTAAATAATATGACCAATGACTTAATTGATATTATTTAAATAGATAAGTGATCTGATTAATAAAATTATAGTTCAATGATAAAAATGGAACCACCTTTATAGTTTAGTGACTATATATGTAGTTTAGCCCCCCATTGTTTTATTGGTTTGCATAAGCTTCTGGATCAAAGAATAATGCTGGAATCTCCATAGGAATCGGATTTAGGTATGTTTTAGATGTGGATGTCATGCCATCCATATAAACGACCTGTTTGTCCCTAAATTTTATAAATTCATCTCCTCTAACGTAAAATTATGTATCCTTCTTTATATACGAGCATCATAAAATATGGTCAGTCGACTAATAATTGGTTTCCCCATTAACAAATGAGCCACCGGAGCATGACCGGTAAGACAGACAATTTCCCTTGTTTTGAGTGTGTTCAAGACAAGTTCAACTTAGAATTTGCTTACATCTCCGATACATGTTTCTATATATTTCGGAGTTCATCTGTTCATGTGATCAAAAACCCCGTGCCTGCCTAATCACAATCGCAGAATTCATCCATTAAACTACATAAAGGAGCATTTCAGAGGGAGAGAATGTTGGGTATGTACAAAACTCAAGGAACCGTCAGTCGACCTGCATGTCCCATAGACTTCCACGACGATTCCAGCCGCATTAAATGCAACTTCTCGACAAATGGTTCGAGAATCTCCGCCTCTTCTTCCGGAGCAAAGGCCATGCAAATGCTAAGCTCTTGCACCGCCTTGCCGTATTCCCTGACAGTTTTTTTAGTTATCGAATTTAGTTCCATCCATCACCCAAACCTTCTTTTTAAAAGATGAGAATAATTTTTAGAATTCATACCTATTATAATACAGCATCATGCCATGGTCTCTCCTCAGTGCCCAGTTGTGTGGCTGCAGAATCAACAATCTTTCTGAAGCCATGATAGCTAGCCTGCAAATACACCCATTTTTTTAGCTTACCATTTATGAAGAAATATGGCATTAAAATTGTCGGTGTGAAAATGTATATAAAGGGAAATATGTTTAAGATACATCATGTTCTGATTTCACACAATCATCATAAAGAAGTATCTACTCTACGTAATGCACAAAGATTAATAGTTCTTGACGGTTAAAGGTTTTGTAGATGAGTGATCTCCAAAACTGCAGCTCTTTACCAGTCTAGCATTAAGTAGAACAAAGGCCAAATCCCACTACCAAACATCAGCACAAAAGAGAAACAGAGGTTACAGTTATAATGAAAAGAATGAGAGCAAATTGGAAAAGTGAATCGAAGTTGCAGAGCATGGCCTTTGCTATATTAGACGTTCATTCAGCTTGAAATGCATAATGAAATTGTTGAGTGGCAGTTAAAAAGAGCAAATGTTGCAGAAAGGCAAATTTTGGGAAGAAAGCCAATGCTACAAATCATAAAAATAAATTATGACTTACCTAAGATCTTGGGGGCGCAACAAAGGGACATTGGATTCATCGATAATGTTAGGTTTCTCACCGGCATCGTGAACATGCCTAAGGGGAGAAGTCAGCATCAATCCATGATTTGATCTTGAAGCACGTTTCCAGTGAAGCCTCTGCATTTTTCCTTTTGTTAGTTTATTTCATACGTAGGAAAGAAATTGCTTTGAGGCATTAATGGCTTTAGAATAAATTAAAAAAGTACGAACTAGTTATACAACTTGATGATGAAGATTAGGACTTACAATTAAATTGGCTAATGCAATCCCAATAATATCACGGTTGGTAGCTATCTCGAGCCCTAAAAGTGAAGTACCAGTTAAATCTGATGCCATCGATCTAGGGTCCTCCACACACTTTCCATTGACAATAGCAAACAAGCTGTGTCCTGAAGTCACTTTGAAGAGTTCCTACACAGAGAAGAGTAGAAGTTACGCGCATTTAAAGTGAACTTAGGCGAGTGAGCAACCGAAAGAAAAAGGCCTGCTTGCAATTTTTATACGCAGAGAACATTACAATGGATTGGTTAAGACATCAAACATACGTTGCTGCAAGTATGAACACAGAACATGTACCATGAAACTAAGCTGCAGCAATAAATTTTCAAGATTGAAGTACCTCTGGGTACCCTGTCTGGGGCCATATCAAAAAATCTTCCCCAACTCGAGATCCCACAATGGTTAGACCAAGTCGCCGACAAATTTCAATGTAAATTATGCTAAGCAAAATTGCTGTAGTTAACAAAATCAGATTAGTAGACAGCCCAAAATGGAAATGAATTGCTCGGGAAGAATATGTTTTTCAGAAAATTCAGACGGAAAATGCTTTGCAGCAAGTGATTCTTACTACAAAAAGGAAGTAGAATGAGGCTTTACCACTGCCACATCTGGAATCAAGTACTGAGTGTAAGTATGGATGCTTAGAATCTACAACAACGGGGGATCTTGTCAAGCCTCTCGACTCAAAAAGGACTAAATTGACTGCCTCCAAAACTTCAACCAGATGGCAGCCTATGTCCCTTGAAACTAGCTCTGCTTCGACCTCTTTACCAATCGCATCCAACTCACTTAGCCATTCAGGTATGGTCTTTCCACCCAAAGGCATTTGCTGCAAAGAATCCCAGTCTTTGGTCTCCAATGAGGAAGAAACATTACTCCTTTCATTCAGGAGAGAGCGAGCATCCATCTCTCGGTTAAAAGACACGAATGCCTCGTCTTCAGCCGCAACATAAAGTAAAGCCTACACCAAAAGATATCGAACAAAATAAAATCTGCAACTTAAATATCTAAAGCATCTCACCCCTTGCAAAAGAGATGTCATTAGTACCTTAGCAAGAGATATGTCTTTATCCTTGGACTGGAAGGAGATCTCCCGAGTGAACTTGTCCCTTGCAGTCTTAAGAGCCTGTGAGTTTCATTTGAGTCCCAACAGAAAATCAGAAAATGGAAATGGAAGATAATCTAAATAATGAAACCAATGATTGGATATGTGGATATCCAGAATGGAAGAACAACGCATGTGTACGTATTGTTTATAGATCAACCTCCTGGTACAATTTGTGACGGGAAGAAGAGTCTTTAGTTAGCTGAATCTGATTGGAAAAAAGAGGGTAAGCACAAGCGGAAGCGGGAGTAGCAGCACTGGTCCTAATCCTCCACCTCCTCAAGTCCTTGTAATCATTACGATGGTGATGATCATACCTGATGATCGTAAAGAATAAACGGATATTCCATCCATCTTCCATCTCTACGTCATTAAACAACTATTACTGGGAAAATATCCTAATCCCCAAACCTTTTTGATGATAAAAACCAAGTAGCCAACAGTAAAATTATAGTAAACCCAGTTACCAAAATCAATTCCTAAGCACAAAAAACTCGTGAGAGAGAGACAGACAGAAAAAGGTTCAATATTGGAGAATTACCTGATAAAGCAATGATCTGGAAATGTTGGATGAGCCATAGCTGCCGTTGGCACCAAATACGATGTGGACAACATTTCTCTGACGAAACGCGATGAAATAATAATCCAGAACACATGTATGGTGTTGAAGATGAATTAAAGCAAGCACAAAAAGCTGAACCAGAATTACCAAAATCCATAATAAGTTGGAGCTAAATTCCAAAATAGTAATTTTATTTTTCCTTCTTTTCCTAATTGTCTGAAATGCAAGTTGAGCCTAACAAGGAAGATAAAGAAAAGGGTTGGTAAAAATTTTGAAATTTAC